GCCGAGCTGCGCGCCCTCGCCAAGTGCGTGCTGGGAGTAGGGGAGAGGGGGTGAGAGGGGGGATGAGAAGTGAGGGCGGGTGGGGTTGGGACTGGGAAGTGTTGAGAGCATTGATGAGTTGGAGGCCAGGCCAGAGGTGGGTGAGGTTGGAGGGAGGAGAGGAAATGGGAGAGATTCAAAACTGCTGCAAGTGGCTGAAAGCCACAGTTTTCATGTGCACCTGCCGTTTCCCGTTGTGTTCAGTTCTTTCCTCATTTGTGTGTTTCCAGCCCCTGTTGCTTGCCTTACTTACTGCTGCACGCTTACACTCTCGCCCTGCATTCCACAACATGGACCATCACCTCCCCCCCCCCCCCGCGTCCTCCCCTGCTTCAGCATCTGCATGGCGCGCGGCCTGACGGACCGTACCATCAACCGCTCCGAGGATCCCTCTCGCTTCTGTGCGGCGTCGCTGGCGCTGCTGCCCACCATTGGCCACGACGTGTGCGACACCTGCAATGCGTGCTTTGCTGCCCTCGCCACGCCTGGCTGCCCCATCTGCGGCATGGGCACCGTCAGGCGCTTTGACAAGGCGGGAGCGGGTGCTGCTGGTGCAGGGGGGGGTGGCGCTACAGGGAGGGCTGCTGCTGCTGGCGGGCAGGCGGGCAGAGGGAAGGGTACTGTGACTGCGTTTGCATCACCGTTCTGAGTGCAGGCCGAGTGTGGTTTTGTTTGCACGTTCCTGGATTTTTGTCTTGCTAATGTTTGCGGCTGCCTAATTTTACATGGCGTTAGCAGCTTGATTGCAGAAGTGATAAGTATTTGCAGTGAAGGTGAAGCTTGCCTCAACTGCGAAAAAAACCTTGATGTCAAACTATCCAGAATGACAAGTTGGTACCTAAGGGCGTGTGTCTTTCGGTGCAGATGGTAAAGTTCATGGTTTTTTTTCGAATTTTAGCAAATGAACATTGGTCGACCTGTTCTCGACTATCGCAACATTTGTTTGCCGAATCGCGTGTTCAATTTTCGCGTCAAGCGTTGGTCACAAAAATGCTCGACTATCGAAGTTCGAGCTTATTGGGCAGGTCCCGAGTCGCACTCACTCTTCGTAGGTAACCTGGTCTGGTTACGACGGCTTTGGCAGTGCGTGCGACGTGAAAACGAAGAGTACGATGTCACGAAGAATTCGCAAATTCATCGTGCGTGTGCAGAAGAACACACGATTGGATACATGTGTACGTGAAAACTCAATTGTGAGTTCGACCTGAGTTCAGTGTCCTCGTGGTTCTCCAAACACTGAGCTTTAGTTCACGAAGTTCGAAACAACCCTAGCGACATTGGCGAAACCAGTAACCACCAAAAGTTCGAACTTTGTTCCGAACGTCTACACCAAAAGACACGCCCTAACGAATCAAACTCGGTATTGCTTGCACCTTGGTATTCCTCATACGCAGCACACGTTGAACATGTACACCTGTAAACACTGCCCCCGTGGGCACCCAATGCTGCGACGTAAGGAAGGCAATCTTCCCTCAGGCGCAGGACATTCCTCCCGCGCATGGGGGAGGGACGCAGTTCTTTCCATCTGAACAGAAATGGAAGCAGGATTCATGACGGCGACCGACATAGGAAACGAAGTAGAAAGCATCCCGATCCACGACACCCTTCATTCATGGCAATCTAGACGGTTCGCCGATGGCCTTGGTCAGCTTCGGTCTCCTAACGCAAAGGTGGAATTCGGTGGATGCTCCCCTCACCAGAAGCCACCTGTTGCTAACGTCCGCCGTCGTTGGGGTGATTTAGCAACCCAGGAGAAGTGCACGTCGCTCGTGTCCACGTCGCCTGTTTCTACTGGCTGAAGCTTTGCTTGTACTTCCCAGCGAGATGCTTTTTTACGGCTATCGGCCATGGGATGGGATGGGAGGGAGGCCTAGCGCGGCGCAAGGGCTCCCACTCGATGCGCGACGCGGCAGCATTTCAGCGACTCGCAACAGCGTGCCTGACGCAGAAGGGGGGCATTCCATGAAGTACAAAAAGTCGCGGGGACCTAAACAGACCCCACGAATCGAAGTTGTCTCACCCTACCCGTTTCCCTTACCTCACCTAAACCACCCACCTTTACCTTCGGTTTACACTACCTTGCACAATGGCGTCGCGAATCCCCGCTGCACTGGCGGCACTGGCCGTGCTGCTCCTGTGCGTGTCGCTGCCCGCGCGCGCGGGCGCGCACAATCACAAGCGCAAGTACAACGGGCGCGTGGTCGCGCGCAACCTGGTGAGCGCCGTCTCTGGCGCGAAGAACTACTCCACGTTCCTCAACGTGCTCCAGCTCACTGGTACCGCTCACTCACTGCGTGCCACTGCTCTCACCCACCCCTGCTTGTCACGCATCAGGGCGGTCCATATGCTCTCCTCTTTCGATTCGAGTCCGCTGCTGCCCAAAGCAGCAGCGCAGTATCGTGCAGAACTGCTCGTAAAGATCTGTGTTTGCTGCTAGAGTTTTGCCTCCCCTCCCGTCCCCTGCTGCTCACTCTGCTCTCGCTGCCCTCGCATCCCTCGTTGCCCTGGATACCCGGCAGGCGTGGACAAGGAGCTGCCGGGCGCGTTTGACCACTATGACGCCACCATCTTCGCACCCACCGACTCTGCGTTCGCCGCCGTGCCCAAGGCCACTCTCACCGCGCTGCTCAAGGACGTGCCGCTGCTGCGCGAGATTGTGCTACTGCACATCGTCAAGGGCAAGAAGCTGGCCACTAAGATTGTGTCGCAGCGCAAGGGCCAGGAGGTATGGTATGGCTCAGTTCAGTGCACGCCCTGCACTGCATTGCCTGCTTGCGTTGCTCCTGTTGCCTCTGTTGTCCGTGCTTTTTTGGTTGGAAGACCGGTACTGGTAGCCTCGCCAGGACTGAGTTCCTCCCAAACCCTGCGCCCCCTCTCCATCCACCCCCTTTGCCGACTCCTCGTGCTTGTTCCTGTTGTGCAGTATGAGGCAGCGGCGGGCATGGGTAAGGCGAAGCTGGTGAAGGCATCTGTGCGTGGCTCCGGCAGTGTGCAAGTGCGCCCCAAGGATGGCGGAGCCACTGTGACTGTGCACACGCCCAATGCTGTGGTGCTGCGTGCTGCTGTGGTGCACAGTGTGGCGTCTGTGATCGTGCCCAAGAGCCCCAAGAAGGCCAGCAAGCAGCTCACGCTCAAGCAGTGCTTTGACGCTGCTGAGCTTGACTAGTGGATGAAGTTGACTGATGCCAGGGTACTGTGGCTGTGGGTGGGTCAATAAGTGGCTATAGCTTCATGCATGCATGGTATAGAACACAGCGGTAGATGTTCCCCCTGCGGTGTGGTGATACCTTTTGTACGCTAGCTTTGTCTGAAGTGTATCCTACCTGTGTTTACAGCTCTTACGGTACCTACTACCTATACTATGGTATCGGTAGTTGTGTGCAGATTTGGCAAGATGTGTACCGTTTGCAAGTACTTTACTGACTTCTGGGGGACTACCAGTCTACCACGGTTGTCCCTGTGGTGAACCTGTGACCAGCAAAACATGTGCTCTACTGTACATCACGCTGGAGCTGCACTGCAAGCTGTGGGAAATAATTGATTTAGTGCATGTTCGAACAGCTCACCATTCTCCTGGTACATATTACGGGTACCTATACCTAGTGTTTCTGGGGCCTTTTCTACACGCCAGCTACTATGGAGCACTTATCGCAGTTATGTCCTCATTAGCATGTGCAAGCGCCACCTGTTCAGTGCCGCCGCGCGGGAACAGGTGCAGCCCGCGGAAGCGGAAGTTGACGGTGGGAAGCCGGGTGGGCACGCGCGGGAACAGTGGCAGCGACGACAGGGACGGCAGGGCGGGGTGATCAATAACGCAGGGAAGCTGCGGCGGCACGTCGATGGTGATGCTGGACGGCACGCCCTGCAGCGGGTGCTGCAGGAACGGGAAGCACGGCGGGGGAGCAGCAGGAGCGGGTGCCGGCGCGGCGGCAGCGGCGGCTGGCGCCTGAGCGAATGCGGTCTGCGACTGGGAGTTGGTTTGCGTGACGGTGGAGGAGTCCTTAGCGTCGACCGTCTGCGTGTTGCTCTGCACCTGGTTCGCTATGTTCCCGTTGTTGTTGCTCTGGTCCGTGTATACGCTGTGAGGAACCGTGGGCACCGGCACGGCGGGCAGCGTAGGCAGGTCTGGTACTACCTGGTTCACGAGGTCCGCGAGGGTGTTCCCTGCCGCTGCCCTCACGGCCAAACCTGCCAGATTCGTACAGCACGCAGAACGCACAGTTAATACGAAACCCATACGCGAAGAGACACTGAAAAATGCCCGGGAAAGTAGCAGGTCACAGGTGCGCGAAGGTGTTACCGATGAGAATAAGCCGAAGGAGATCCATGGAGGCCACAAGCTGCGAGGGGAAGGGGTCGATCTTGTAGCAGCTGACCAAGGCTTGGTGGGAATACGTGGCGCCAACGCGAGAAAGAAAGGCTTCAGAGGGCCAGACGAGGACCTGCGTTCACACACATCAGAGCTGCATCGACTGTAGCCAGCATTTATGATAATGTGTCGTCGTGGCGGACCAAAGGCGAACATTCGACCTGCGAGGACCGAGCATGTTTCGGCGGACGTTGAGGTTGACGCCATGGCGACGTGATCGCGCGAGCAACAACAGGCTTGTCACCATCACAGACTCCCCTGGGAATGTGGCGTCTGCTCACAGCAGCAACTCCCTGATGTGACGTTGGTGGGGCACTGGGGCCGTGCAGTGAAAGGGATGTGCAGGGTGACAGGACTTCGGTACAGACTGCGTGTACTAAACAAGGCCTGTTGGGATAGCAGTCTTCACTGAATAGAGTACTAAACAAGGATAATTTTGAACATTAATTTTCGTATAAATAGCTGTGGAGAAAATGGACAAGCAGAATATAGCATACAAGAGACTCATCCGCAACCCGACCCGATTCTCTTATTTTGACAACAAATGGACAAACACAACACAGATGTTACAGGCGGCCTTATTTGAAGTTACTCATGCGTTGGAAAGGGCTTGGCGGTTATGAGGCTTCCAGAGCTGTGAGCGGTCGCTGCTGAGAGGCTCCACAGGGATGATGCCGCCCGGGTTCAAAGGGAAGAGCTGCCCAAAGTAGTTGTCCCGCACTCCTGCGATGTCACACGTGGCTGCTACCCCCGGCATCTGGCGTGCGGCAGAGGGACATTGACAGGGATGTTGACACATAAGTCACTGGTGGAACCAGGCTGTTGCAGTTTAAGAAACTTTGGGAGCAGCAGACAGCAAATCATGGTATGTTGGGGAGGGCAATCAGCAGGAAAGGGGATTGGGGGAAGGAAACACTGAAGAAGTAACGGTAAAAAAAGAAGGGAAAATGAAAAGAACTGGAGGAGAAGTGGCAAGGAAGGTAAGGGGGGTTGAAAGTCTATCCAGTAAGCACCTGGAAGATGTCGCGCATGTAGGCATGGATGTTGTCATACTCCACGATCTTCCTGCGCGAGCACTTGAAGAGCGTGTGGTAGGCGGCGTCAAAGCGCACGAGCGTGGTGAAGAGGCGCACGTCGGACAGCGTGAGGGCAGCCCCGCAGAGGAAGCGAGACGTGGCGAGGTGCGCGTCAATGCGGTCCAGAGTGGTGAACAGGTCGTTCACCGCCCTGTTGTACGCCGCCTGGCTCGTGGCAAAGCCACACCTGGAAGAGTGAGGATGGGGAAAGAGGGGGGGGGCAGAGTGCGAGGGAAGGAGGAGGGGAGAAAAAGAGTTTGTGTGAGATAGGAAGTGGATCGGAAGGACGAGGAATGGGCCATAATCGAATGATGCAGGCAGAAGAGCAATGTCATCTACTGGGATGCATATTTATGCCGCATTGTGATGCGATGCGATGCAGAGAGGTGGTGTAGTGGCAGCACACCGGTAGACGCCATTGTTGACATTGTTGTAGATGTCCTCGTCCCATGCTGCCATCTGCTGGGAGAGCTCCGGGGGTGCGAGGTCGAGGTGCGGGTTGGTGGCATAGTCATTGAAGGCGGCGTTGAGCATGCGAATGATGTCCGCACTCTCGTTGTTCACCACCCGCCTGCTCGCATGGGCGGGGGAAGAAGAAGGGGTGATAGAGGGCGGTGGGATGAAGGGGAAGAAGTAGAGGCAGAAAGGGGAGTCATAAGAGGCAGGGGGTGGGAATAGAGAGGCAGGAGGGCAGAAGGCAGGACGAGAATAGAGGCAGGAAGGGAGGGAGACGGCAGATGTGATGTGCTTGTTGAAATAGGAATGGAGGAGACGCTGATTTGAAAAAAGAGTGGAGGCCTGGAGCAGAAGTGATGGGCACACTTTGGAGGAACTGAGGGAGGGGTATGGTCTATGCGTGGGCTGTGGTGCGGTCGGCAGTGGTGGCACCTTCAACTGCACGCCTTTGGCGCATCACCCAGTCGTTCCCCCTACAGCAAAAACCAATATCCTTCCTCTCCTTCCCTCCCATTCCCCCGATTCATCCCAAACCTGACCAACATTCCCCATTAATCCCCACCACCACTTCCGCCCCCTCCCCCTTTCCCACCCATCCGTGTGGCCAGTCTCACTTGGTCTTGGAGTCCCACACCATGGGCACAGTGCAGCGCCCATCGTACCCGCCCTCCTGCTTCCCATACACCTCCTTCAGCTTCGCACACCCCCCTGCGCGGTCCTCCGTAGGCACAAGCATCGCCCCCTCCTCTCCCTCCCCTCCCTCCCCTCCCACTCCCCTCTCACCCCCTTTCCCACTCCCTCGCCGCACCACCACACTCTCCCCTCGCCCCGCGCCTGCTGGCACGAACTCCCAGAGCCCGCCGTCACCAGGGCGGGCGATGGAGAGGGGCACGGCAGCGTGCAGGCCCTTGAGCGCGTGCACGATGAGCGTGCGGTGCGCCCACGGGCACGACAGCGCCGCGTACAGATGGTACCGCCCCGCCTCCGCTGGGAATGCACCTGCCTGCCGGCTACCTGTGCTACTGCCGCTGGTGGCAAAGGTGGCGGTGGTGGTGCGAGTGGTGGTGGGTGGGGGTTGGATGGTGTGGCGGTAGGCGCTGGGGGTGCGCTTGTAGTTGCCGGCGTCGTCGCTGGGTGCGAGCTGTGCCATCATCACCCGCCACCCACTGCCCCATGCCTCTCGCGCTACCTGCATGCATGTGCACGCACAGACGCACACGCACACGCATGCACGCACACACTATCACTTGCACCCGTGCGTTCATGCGTGTATACACCGAGGCGAGCAGCAGCAGGGTGCAAGAAGAGCTTGGCGCGCGTGGGAGGCACGAGCAGTATTGTGAGGGGTGGCGTGAGCAACAAGAGCCGATCGGTGAAAGGAGGGCACAGCAGAGGATGCGCACAGAGCAGCACAGCAAATCGCATCACAGATTCCCACAACCCCACAGGCCCGCACAGCACCACGTGGCCGCGCGGCGCTGCCCTGGTTCGCAAGAACCGCCTCGCAACCGCGCAATACGGGGAGCGGAGAGAGGGGAATGGGAGCTGGGAATGGGAGAGGGGAGTGGGAGAGGTGAGTGGGAGCGGGGAGAAGAGCAAGGAATAGGGAGCGGGGAGCGCAGGCAGCGCAGAAGGGCACGGCACGAACCTGCACGAGGAGCCCCGGCGGCAGCCCTTTGCCCCACAGCGCCTGCCCCGCTGCCGTCACGGCGCCCACCAACCCGCCGCCGGCATCCCCGCCTCCATCGCCCCCGCTGCTAGGAATCACGGACGGGAGGAGTTGCGCCATGGACAGAATGGGCGGAGGGGTTGCAGAACGGGAGAAGAGAGGAGGGGGGGGAGGGTGAGGAGTGGGAGGGGGGGATCCTGTGAGAGAGAGCAACTGACGGCAGGGGGGGCGAGGGAGCTGGGAGAAACCATGGACGCTGGTGTATTTCCCGCTTGCGCGACCCACGGCGGCGTCTCACCTGCGCGCCGAGCATTTCACAACCCCGCGCACGCGTCGAGTCGGCCTTAATCGCCCGAAACGAGTGTTGAAAGGAGGGGCGGTACTTCCGGGAAATGCGGAGTTGGCGCGATGGACGACGGCCGAGACGGCGGATGACCAGGCGAGCGCTTGAGAGGGATGCGGCGCAAGAAGGCCGTCCATGGCGACAGTAGGCGACGAGCGGCGACGAGTAGTGAGCAACGCAATGTCGGAGTGAGTAGATTTCGGCTGGCTTGGCTGAGCTTGTTCAAGAACTCTTCGAATTCCTGGTTTGGGCATTGGTTGGAAGTCAACCGCGATATAAAGAAATGCTTCATACAACATGTGCCAAATTTTGATTCCTAGGTCAGCGCCTAGCTAGAGTCCCAGTGTACATTATTGGTCGTTTTCTTATGTCACAGTTGAGATATATGTTATGCCACGCACTATTGATTACCGTACCAGCTCATAACACAGGCACTCTTCTTTTACAACTCGTTGGCGCTCGCATCCATTCGCACACTCTATACCCTTTGTAATATGGTTCTTATGCTTGTTTCTAGCTTCACCATCACGCTGGGTCACGCCTCGCAAGCACCACACCAATCACACCCCCCCCTCCTTGCCCTTGTCACTTTCTGTGGTCGGCTTCGATCGAGATTCATTTCCCTGGTAATCGGTAAAGCATCCTTCTCTAGTTGAGACTAAGAAGCTGAATCTCTACACATCGCGCACAATAAGTTAGCTGATTCTCGAACGATAAACGACGCCTCATTCTTGCCTGTCGGGACATGGCGCGGCGAAAACCATCGGAGCAGCCGCTCGACGACGGCTCGCGACGTGTGCGAACGAGATCCGTGTCGCGAGGAGTCGCCGGCAGCCGTGCGACGTTACCCACAGCTCCCTTCCAAGAAGCAGCGGACGACACGGGCGACGCCGAGCGCACTCCCAGAAATGCACCGGTTCTTACCGCTCTGAACGGCGATGAGTTCGACCGAACGGATGGCGATGAACGGCCTGATGAACCTGCCGAGCGAAGCATCCCTAGAGGGCTTGAAGATCGTACGGCTGATGATGCTGCGGATGCCATTATTGGCGATAACGCTGCAGCTGGCACGGATTCCGGACAGGTTGGCGCTGACTCGGAAAACGTCGGCGGAGGTGGAGCCAGCATGGATGCGGGTGACGTGGCGCGCCGTCGATTTCTTTCGATCGCACGGCAGAGGGCCGCCCATTTCGCCCACTTCGATGATTCTTCCCGCCTGACCTCCGCTCGCCGCACAGGCGCGCGCGAAACCTCGCCCGTTGCCGGCGCTCCCCCCCCCTCCGCTTCCGCCGAGGCTGCCGCCACCGCGGGGCAGGGAGGGGGTCGAGGCGGAAGCGGCGGCGGGCAGGCGCGTGGGGCGGGGGCGGCGGAGCAGTGGCCGGGCCCGTTCGCCACAGCGAGGCAGCTGGTGCGGGGAAGAGCCGCGGCTGCCGCCGCCAGGCAGGCGCAGGGGGGCGGGGGGGCACGCACAGGGGAAAGCGCAGGGGAGCGGGTGGGCAGGGGAAGCATTGCGCAAGGCAGCGAGGCAGGGGGGGAAGTGGGCGGTGGAGCGGGAACCACAGGCACTGGTGCCAGCACCGTTCCAGCTGGGGTAGCTGTATCGTGGACTCCCAAATCGCAGAGAAACACGGGAGGAGGGGGAAGAGACGAGAGAAGCGGGGGCGGAGGGGGACTCGGGCCGCGCAGCCTGTACTCCCTGTGCCTGGACATGGTATCAGCGCACATAGAGGCGCTGGAGTCGCTGGAGGGGGTGCCGGACGGCGTGCGGCGGGACCTGAGTGCGTGCCTGAGCGCACAGAGGCGCCTGGACGGCCCCGCGCTGCTGCTGCTGGTGGGCGGCGTGGCGGCGGAGCTGGCTGTGGCGGACTGCTCGCTGGTGGGCGAGGCAGACCTGCACCGCGCGCTCCTCACCTGCCACCCTGCCAAGCTGGAGGTGCGCGTGTGTGGTTGCATGTCCCTGTGTAGGGGCGTGACATCAGGGTGAAGTGAGGTGAGTTGGAGTGAGCACGGAAGCCGCTTGCGTTTTAAATTCGTCGCTCTGCATGGCTGTCAAGTCCGTTTCAGGCCCATGTGAAAAGTGATTTCAGCAACCGCAGTGCCATTGAAGCTACCAGCGAGTTTCCGGGGTCATACTTCGGACGCACACACGCTGACTCACCTATAGGGTAGTCATTCTGGAGGAGTCAGTCTGCCTGTGCCGGGTCCTAATAGGAAGTTAAATCCGTTTCCTTACTAAGGTTCGGCTTTAAAGAAGTGGGTTTAGAAGGGTCATACTTTTGTCTGTCTTGACTATCCTGGCAGCTCGTGCATCTCTCCATCTGTGCTCGCACTCTCCCCTCGCCTCTCACATCACCTTTCTCCTCACGCTCTCGCCCTTTCACCACTCCCCTACGTGTCCCCCTCCCTTTCTCCCAACTTCGTCCCTTCAATTCGCCTCCGCCCATCCCCCCCTCCCCCTCCCCTGTGGCAGCTCGTGGATCTCTCCATGTGTGGTCGCAGTCTCTCAGACACCTGCTTCACCACCACCCTGCTACGCGCCCCAGCCTCCCTTCCCGCCCTGCGTTCCCTCTCCCTGCAAGGCGCCTACCGTCTCTCCGACACCTCCCTCCCCCCGCTCGCCCTCTCCGCCCCCTCCCTCGCGCACCTCTCCCTCCTCCACTGCCCGCTCCTCTCCGCCCCAGCAGTATCCACCCTGCTCTCCTCCCTCGCCTCCTCACTCAAAACCCTCCGTTTGGACGGGTGCACTCAGCTGAGCGCGCATGCGCTGCTGCCGGGGCTCAGGGCGTTGACGGGGCTGACCTGCCTGTCGCTGGCAGGAGTGCCGTCAGTGACGGATGCCGTGCTGGCTGACCTGCTGCCCGCTGTGGGCGGGCACCTGAGGGACCTCTCTCTCGCACACTGCGAGTAAGCCGCTCTGGTAGTCGAGTGACTAGTCTGGTGGGGCGTCACGGGGTTGGTGGGCAGGGAAGGCCTATTGTGCGTTTGACTGGTGGGAGTGCCGTCAGTGATACATGCCGCACTGCCTGACGCCAGGGACCTCTCTCTCTCTGCCTCACTGCACGTAGGACGAAAGGCAGTGGTTATTTTATATCTGGTGAACGCTTACTGCCACTGTGGTGCTAAGGCTCGTTCAATCAGAAACCGGCGCTGGGCTGGGCCGCACTGAAGCACGCCCCACTGCCACTCCAACTCCTCTCTGCTAACCTTGCGTTGACTGCGTGGTCAACTTCTGGCACGGTGACAACTCAAAGAGCGCCCCACTGCCAGCCAGGGCTGCTTGTGCATTCACTCCACACTACGCTTGAGTCCGCTGCTCCACATTGAATTGCAATGCTTGCAATGCTTGCAATGCCCCATGGATCCCTCTCCTTCTCCGCTTGTACCTTCCTGCCTTCTTGTCCCATGGATCCCTTGTGGCTAAAGCCCCTTCCACTCCTTCTGCTCGCTCTCTCACCATTGCATCACAGGGTGGTAACAGACGAGTCCATGGCTGCGGCAGCAGTCCACGCACCGTCCCTAACCGCTCTGGACCTCTCACACCTGCCTCTACTCTCTGACGACTCCCTCCACTCCCTGTGCTCCGCTCAACTCAAGCTGCGATCGCTCAACCTCACTCGAACCAACTTCAGGTCAGCACCTGGATTTGACGCCTCAATTCTCCACCCTCCCTCCCTCCCTCCCTCAGTTCCTTCAGTTCCCTCCCTCTCCTACTCCCTCCCTCCCTCCCTCCCTCTCTCCCTCCCTCCCTCCCTCTCCCAATTCCTCCCCCGGATGTTTCACTAGATTTCCTCATCCTATTGAACCCCTCTCGCTTTCTCCTACCTCCTCCCTTTCCTCCTCATTCCTTCCATCCTCCCTCCTTCCCTCGTCCCATTCTCCCACAGTGACTCGGCTCTCGCTTCTCTGGTGCAGTCCTCAGGCGCTGCCCTGCACACCCTCTCAGTCAATGCTGTCTATGAGGTGAGTGTACATCAACACAGTCGGAACGGTCAACACACTTTGTCATGTGTGTGTAAGTCAACGCAGTCAGTTCATCTAGTGCAGTAAACAGCAGGCGCCCAGTTCATCTCTCTCACCTGCTCGTCCCACGATCTCACAGACTCCCGCGATTGCTCTTTCTGGTGCTCATGACCCACCACGCCCCTGCTCTCGCTCTCCCTCATCGCACAACGCCCTCCCCCCCCTGTCCCCATCGCACAGGCATCGGACGGGCTGCTGGTCGCTCTAGCGCGCTGTGCGCACGAGTCCCTGCAGGCTCTCGATGCGTCGTGGTGTCGCTCCATGTCTGACCACGCCCTTGGCCTGCTCGCTGACTCCTGCACCAACCTCTCGCGCCTCTGCCTCTACGGCTGCTCCCAGGTGCCTTTTTGCCCACTTGGGAGGTCACCTGGAAGTTATCATGTGGCTGCTCAGGGTTTCTGGCCTAGTGGTCAGCGCAGTTCTTTCTTTCTTTCCTTCATTTTCTTGCACGAGGTGAGAGAGACCAATCGATGGCCACTCAGTTCGCCGCATTTTGTTAGTTATTTGGTGCCGGTCCAGCTCTCTCCTTCCTGCTGGAATACTCATCATGTTTCGTCCCCCTCTCTCTTCTCCCACCCCCCCCTCCCCCCCACTTGTTTGTTTGTACCGTATGTTTGTTTGTTTCTAATGATTCGCTGCAATAATATATGTGGGTGGGCCTTCGGTTTCAGGTGTCCGATGTGTTTTACCTCGGGCATAGTAACACCCGTCTGCAGCTCGTTGGCCAAGTAGGGATGGTGATAAATTGACACTGGTGTTGTGTCGGAGCCATGCATTTTCTGAGGGGACGATGGATCAGCGCATTATAGCACGAAAGGGTGTTCGCGATAATATTCATTGTTGGAACCAGCTATTTCTGCAGGACATGGATGCAATGGAGACGAAAAGAGAGGAGACACTTTTGCAGGCAGATATGGTATGGTGTCAAATCTGTTGGGCTGAGAAAAAGCCCTTTGGATCTTTGCAGGGATGAACTATGAGTGGGACTGATGTAATAGCGGAAGCGTTTAATGAAGTATTGTGAACCACCTTGCGCTAGTATGTGAGGGCAAAGTAGATTGATTAAGACAAAGAGATACAAGATTATATAAGAGTACAAGGAATATGAAGGGATACGGTTATAACTGTTTCACTGTTGCTATTGCGGTTCGATACAGTGACGACTCGGGCAACTGCTCTGTAGCGAGTCAGTTGTGTGTCCTTGCTGTCGCGCTGTATTTGTCAGGTCAAAGGTCGCTGACCTTTGACTTTCGCGTAACCTCCAGCGGTTACTTCAACCTCCGAGGGTTGACTCGCTGGTGCCTCGATATGCTTTGCTTCGCTTGTGTCTTGGTGTTTCGACACGACAGAGGCGCTTAAGACTGATTGTTTCCAACACTCCCCTTTGCTTCTGGAGTGTCGCTGCTGGTGACGTGGCTCTGTCCAGTCAGCAGCATGCAGTACTCGAACTTCTGCTTTCCGAGCTTCTTGGTCAGGTAGTCAGCTGCCATCTCGGACGTGGGGCAGTATGACAGCTCGAGCCTCCCTTTCTCGATCTCGTCCTTCACGAAGAAATATCGCAGGGCGGTGTGTTTCGTCCTGTTCGCGAAGCCGTTCTTGTTGGCAATGCGAATTGTGAGAGTAGTAGGTAGAGTTAGGTGGGCTTGGGAGCCATAGCTTAGGAGCCTTGGTAGTTAAGTTCGAGGGTGAGGAGAGTGTCGAGAAAATTGTGAAGGAGAATGAGGGTTTCACTATAGGTTCAAGGGTACAAATATGAAAGAAGTGAAGCAAGGTGCACCACCTAACAAGCAAGGTAACTACACTAAGTCTACATTGCAGGCAGTTATAAAGTGATGTATACAATAACATTCTGACACACCCCCTAACTGCCTGCAGTGAAGAACCATGTGCAGAAACACCCCCGGAAGGGGTACACCAAGTAGAGCGCAACAGACAGAGAGGGCAAATGAGGAGGAGAGACTGTGGAGGAAGAGAAGATGCGAGGCAACGACTGAAGCTGCAGAGGCACGGGCACAGGAGCGGCTGACTCAGTGGCTACCGAAGCAAGGGCGACGGACTACTGGAGTGACTGGCTCCGCGGCTATAGACGAGCGGCAGGAGCAACGGACCCACTGGCGACTGGTGCAACAGGCTCACTGGCTACCGAAGCAAGGGCGACGGACTACAGGCGCTGCAGGCGACACGACAGCTACCTTCACACAACCTCCCCCAGCTGCCCCACTCCCCTCTCACACACTCCCTGTTCAAACCCTAGCTCCACTCCCACAGCACCCCCCTTAAACCCTAGGCTCCCACACACCCACCCCCCTCAGCGACAGCTGCAGCAGTGGGAGACGAGGGAGGAGGAGGAGCAAGGGGAGGAACACATAACCGCCACCCCCACACCCGCCACCCCCATGCTCGGCACCCCACACCCCCAGCACCACGGAATGCACGGGGGGGGGGGGGGGGGGGGGAACGGGACGGGCTGCAGGTGCGGGCTGCTCCAGGGGCGGCCGCTGCAGGTGCGGGCTGCTCCAGGGGCGGCTGCTGCAGTTGCTGGCTGCTCCAGGGGCGGCTGCTGCAGGTGCGGGCTGCTCCAGGGGCGGCTGCTGCGGTTGAGGGCTGCTCCAGGGGCGGCTGCTGCAGGTGCAGGCTGCTCCAGGGGCGGCTGCTGCAGTTGCGGGCTGCTCCAGGGGCGGCTGCTGCAGGTGCGGGCTGCTCCAGGGGCGGCTGCTGCGGTTGAGGGCTGCTCCAGGGGCGGCTGCTGCAGGTGCAGGCTGCTCCAGGGGCGGCTGCTGCAGTTGCGGGCTGCTCCAGGGGCGGCTGCTGCAGGGGCGGCCGCTTCAGGGGCGGCTGCTGCAGGGGTAGCGGCTGCTGGGGCGGCTGCTGCAGTGGCGGCTGCTCCAGGGGCTGCTGCTGCAGTGGCGGCTCCAGGGGCGGCTGCTGCAGTGACGGCTGCTCCAGGGGCGGCTGCTGCAGCGGCGGCTGCTCCAGGGGCGGCTGCTGCTGGGGCGGCTGCTCCAGGGGCTGCTGCTGCAGTGGCGGCTCCAGGGGCGGCTGCTGCAGTGACGGCTGCTCCAGGGGCGGCGGCTCCAGGGGCGGCTGCTGCAGCGGCGGCTGCTCCAGGGGCGGCTGCTGCTGGGGCGGCTGCTGCTGGGGTGGCTGCTCCAGGGGCGGCTGCTGTTGCAAGGCAGGCCCGCGCGCTGCTGCAAAGCAGGCACGGGCGCAAGGGAGGCAGAGGCGGCGGCCAGGGGGGGGTGCGCCGCGACGAGCAGGTGACAGGGCCACAAGGGGCGGCAACGGAGCCGCTAGGGGCGGCAACGGGGCCGCGAAGAGCGGCGACGGGGCCGCTAGGGGCGGCAACGGGGCCGCTAAAGGCGGCGACGGTGCCGAGATGGGGCGGTGACAGGGCCGCGAAGTGTGGCGACGGGGCCACTGAGGGTAGCGCGAGGGGCCGTGAGAGGAGCAGCGACGGGGCCGCGAAGAGGCCGTGAGGGGCCGAGAAGGGCGGCGTCCGCGCGTCCGGGGCGCACGGCGTGCGGAAACCGCCACGCGCCCCGAGCGCGTGGCGGGAAGAAAAAAGTGTCGCGCGCCACGGGGCGCGCGACAGAAAAGAAAGCAGCGGAAGCACGTGGGGCCCACAGGCCAAGAGCGTAGTCGCTCTGATTCCATGTGAGAGTAGTAGGTAGAGTTAGGTGGGCTTGGGAGCCATAGCTTAGGAGCCTTGGTAGTTAAGTTCGAGGGTGAGGAGAGTGTCGAGAAAATTGTGAAGGAGAATGAGGGTTTCACTATAGGTTCAAGGGTACAAATATGAAAGAAGTGAAGCAAGGTGCACCACCTAACAAGCAAGGTAACTACACTAAGTCTACATTGCAGGCAGTTATAAAGTGATGTATACAATAACATTCTGACACGAATTGCCGACTGGTTGTCGCAGAACAGAGTGAAGCTGGGTAACTGAGCCAGCTTCGCTTCTTCCAGCAGTTCGCGAAGGTAAAGTCCTTCCTTGGTGGCTGAGCAGAGTGCAATATATTCTGCTTCAGCTGACGAGAGGGCGATTAATTCCTGCTTGCTCGACTGCCAAGAGATAGGTCCGATAGGTTCGAGGCGGTAGATGTAGCCAGTGCGAGAACGCCTGTTGTCGGAATCGCCAGCGTGATCGGCGTCGACGTAGCCGATTAACTTAGGCGGCGTAGTTGCGTTCTTGTAATAAGTTAGACCAATCGTCGGGGTGCTAATGAGGTAATGAAGAGCGCGGTCGAGTTCTGCTAGATGTTCCGCTTCGGGCCTCTTGAGGTAGGTGGCGAGTTGACTTGCAGAGTACGATAGATCTGGGCGGCAGGTGACAGCTGCGAAGAGAAGTCAGCCCAGCTTTCTCTGGTAGTCGCGTATGCCGGCGGGCTTGAGCAGAGCGGAGCCTTCTTTGTTGTTTCCTGTCGTGTAGCGGTACGGTGTGGAGATAGCAGTTGGTGTGAGTGTGAAGCGCTTGGCGATGGTGTCGGCGTATTTCGCGGCGCTGAGGTAGATGGCGTCTTCCTCTTCCCGGATGTTGAGCCCGAGGTACTGTGTAACGGTAGATGAGACTGTCAGTGTGAGGTCCTGCTGCAGCTCCCCTTCGAACCAGGTGGTGACGCTGTCGGTTGAGCCGATGTAGAGGAGATCGTCTACGTAGACGATTAGTAGGATGTAATCTGCGCCTTTCGTGAGTCGATACATCCCCTGATCGTGTGGTAGTTGCTTGAAGCCGATGCGAATGAGACGAGCGTGCAGGTATTGCTGCCATAGTCGCGGGGCTTGCTTGATCCCGTAGAGCGACTTTAGCAGCTGACAGACTTGGTTGGGCTCCCCGTTGGTACCGTGCGGTAGTTCCACGAAAATTTCTGCGTCAACGGGTGCGTAGAGAAATGCGTTCGCGACATCGATTTGCCGTAGCTTCTTTTTCTTCATGGCGGCGATCGCGAGAAGGATTCGGAGCGAAGTGTGTCGGCTGACCGGAGCGAAAGTTTCGGTGAAGTCTCGCCCGTGTTCTTGGTCGAAGCCGCGCACGACCCAGCGTGCCTTGAATTTGTCAGTGGTGCCGTCGACCTTCGTCTTCACGCGGAAAACCCATTTTCCGGTGAGAATGGTTTTGTTCCGTGCTACGCCAATGGGGACAATTTTCCACGTGTTGCGCTCCTCTAATGCCTTCAGTTCTTTGTCCATGGCTTCGCGCCATTTTTCCCTATGCTCCCCCCCCAGAGCCTGCTGAACTGTGGCAGGCTCCTTAGGAATGGCCGTGCCGTGGACTGCGGTGACGAGCCCGAGTATCTGGAGTCCACTCGGTGTGTAGCGGGGGAGTGACATGTCCGCGGGATAAGCAGCTTCGTCTCCCGCTTCCGGATCAGGTGCGAAGTTGGGTCCTGCGCGTTCTGCTTCGTTGGTGTTTACTTGTGCAGGTGTAACGTAACCGTTGTCAGCGAAATAGTAGTAGGTTTCGGCGTTGATGCTCTCGCGTGGGTTTTCGTCGTCCATTGGCACGTTGACGGAGCAGTAGGGGAGGGGTCCGGCTTCTTCCGAGGCTCCTTCCACGTTCTGCTCGTCCCAGTCAGCTTCGTCTTCTGCCGAAGCGAAGGCTCGGTCTCCACGGAAGCCACCTGTGGGGTCTCGGTTTTCGTCCAGGCTGGCAAGGTACGTCTGCAGTGTGAGTCGCTCGTAGAAAATGACATCACGTGCTGCCACTGTTTCTTTTGTCTCGACGTCGAAAATCTTCCATGCATTGTAGTGTTTTTCGATGCCCAGGTGTAGTCCCCACTGTGCGCGTTAAGAGAATCGTCCTGCTCGTGCAGATGGAGGTCGGTACTGTACCATGCAGCCGAAGACTCGTAACATTTTTGCGCTGCCCAATTTTCCTGTCCACAGCAGATGCGGTGATGTGTTGTTCGGGAGTGACGACGAAGAAAGCAAGTTGTGCAGCATCACGGCGTGGTCCATTGCTTCGGGCCACTGGTGGTTGGGTAGCCGCATGCCACGTAACAGTTTCCGCATGGTATTCTGTAGGGTCTTGTTCATCCTTTCTGCTACACCCTGCTGTTGATGGGCGTAGGGAAGGGAAATGAGTCGCTTGATTCCTCTCTCTGCTAGATACTGCTTGAACCTTTGTGAGGTGTATTCTCCTCCCCTGTCTGACTGGAAGCTTTTTAGTTTGACGCCCGATTCCCTTTCTGCTACGGGGAGCCAGTCGACGAACGCTTCGAACGCCATATCCTTGCTTGGAAGATTCAGGTGCCAAACGTAACGTGTCGCGGCATCGATGAACGTGATGGTGTAATTGTACGCGTTCTGCCCCGGTTCGCGATTGTACAGGATGTCGCTGTACACTTTCTCGAGTGGCGCGTAAGCTGGTGCGCTTGGGTTATGGTGAGACGCGAACGGTTGATGCGGTAAGTCAGATTCAGGGCAGGTGACACACGTTCCACGTACTCGTTGACCATCAGTCAGTAGTAGTGAGTCCTTGTCGAGTACTCCTGCTCTTATCGTATTATTTAATACTGTGTTGCTTGGGTGTCCCATCCTTGCGTGCCAGGTGCTTTCGTCGGCGCGATGTCCGGGTGATCGTCGGTACAGGTCGGAGTTGGAGTAGAAGCTGGCGGTGAAGTTGGCGCTTCGATGAACTTCTCGTGGTGCTGGGTGTAGTTGTTGCGCGGGTGTCGGTGGTGTGTCGTCGACGAGGAGCGGTGCCGTTGAAGGGCCAGCGATTGATGTTGACGTTCCTGCTGCTGCCGTTGACGGTTCTGCTACTGCCGATGTTGTCTCTGCTGCCGCGGACGTTGTCTCTGCTGCTCCCGATGTTGTCTCTGCTGCTGCTGATGTTGTCTCTGCTGCTGCTGATGTTGTCTCTGCTGCTGCTGATGTTGTCTCTGCTGCTGCTGATGTTGTCTGAATTGTTGCTAACGCCCTTGTTCTTTCTACCTCAGGAATGGTGTGTGAATACCAGAAGCCTTCTGGACTGAAATTTGGATCAAGATCTGGAGGGTGGGTCCAGGAGATGAAGGTGAAGATGCCGTCGCTGTCTGCTGTGCCGAGATCTGGGACAAAATCAAGAACGAAGACGTTGTTTTTGAGGATCGCCTTTCCGATGTAGAGGCCGCCCTTCCCGTGGTACAGCTTGAACTCCTGGGTGGTGCTGTCTGCCTCAAGGTGAATTCCCTTCGCCATCAACTGACTGACGCTCAGTAAGTTGTAGCCGAGGCCTTCTGCGATCAAAACCTTAGACATTTGTAGAACGACATTTGTCTCTCGTGATTGAAGTTGTACCACGCCCTGTCGTCGTGTGCGCAGGTTTTGATTATTGGCGACGGTGATGACTACTTCGTGTTGAAGTTGATACTCTCGCTGCACGAAGCGTCCTGAGGAGCACATGTGTTGTCCGCAGCAACTGTCCAAGAACCACGTGTCCTTCCCGGATGGCTCGCTCTGGGCGATGGCTGCGTACGTTGGATTCGGTTGAAGTGACTCGCGGCGAGGTGTGGTGTTGTCGAGTTGTTCTTCCGGTGAGTAGTGTGGCGGTGACTCGGTGATGCAGGAATCGGTCAATTTTGCCATGCAACTGACGATGTTCCTTGCTCCTTGTGCAGGTTGTCCCGTCGGTGTCGTTTGAGCTTGAGCGGCGGGGTTCGCTTGTATTGAAGTGACTTGGCTGCTTGAAGGTCGAAGCTGTCGCTGTGAAGGCGTTGACTGTTGTCGATTCGGGCAGTGCGTGCGCGGGTGCCCTGACGTCTTGCAGATGTGGCAGAACGGAGGTACGGGTTTTGGTTGTTGTTGTTTGTTGTTGTTGTAGCGTCGCTGAGTATGGAATGCGAATTCCGGTGTTGATGTCTTCTTCTTGTGTCGTTCTTCTTGCAGGTCCATGTCTTGCTGCTCGGCGTGGATTTCGGCGCAGAGCGCTGCTTCGGAGATTCTTCCGTGGGCTCGGAGAATGGCCTTTGTTGCGCGCCATTGAGGACCGAGGCCGCCAATGATAACTGTCACGAAGGCGTCTTCAGAAATCGACCCTCCGCATCGAAGAAGCTTGTCGCGCAACTCGCGACATCGGCTGATATACGCCATTCCTTTCTCGCCTGCTTTCATTTCGACCGTTGTCAATTGCGCCATTAACCGACTTTGATTTACGCTGTCTGTTGCTTGATACAGGCTCTTCAAGTGGTTGTATGCGAGCTCCGCGGAGTTGCCGTAACCCCGGTAAGACCGTATATTCTGTTGTTGGGACGGGGTGATGTTTCTCAGTAGAATCGTGTACGCCATCATCGACTGATAGGTGTACTGCTGCTTCTCATACTGTGTGCCGTTCGTTGGGTATGGCAGGGACCCGTCGAAGAAGCCAAGTATCGGCGCGCCTTCCATCATTAACTCGAATTCAAACGACCAGGTGAAGAAATCCTTTCCATCGAAAGGTCTTGACGTCTGCATCTTTAGAACGTGCGCGAACTGCGACTGAACTTGTAATGCGTCCAGTGGCTTTTCTTGTCCAGGTGAAGGCTGCGGGTGTGGCATAAAACGGATGGACCCGCGCTCGTACGGAGCAAAGGTAGGCTGCTGTTGATTTCCTCGTGCGTATGATGAGCCGTCGAGACTCATGGGAGTTGCTCCGTTGTTGTTGTTGCTGTTGTTCGACTGCGTAGGTGCCGACTGTTGGTGTTGCTCGTAGAAGGACATGAAGGAGAAAAACTTCTCCATCATGCTCTGATCAAAGCCTGCAGGTTGATTTGCAGGAGTCTCGGTAGAGGTTGCTCTTGGTCTTGTTGCCGTGCCCTCCTCTGTCTGCAGGCCAGAGGCAGGAGGTGGAGTAGGAGTAGTGCCTTGGGAGCCGTTGGAGGAGCTCCTTTCCTTTTGTGTAGCCATGCTTGTTGATGCTGTCGGTATTTTAATAGAAGTCGAATTCTCCCTGACTGCTCTCATACCATGTTGGGCTGAGAAAAATCCCTTAGGATCTTTGCAGGGATGAACTCTGAGTGGGACTGATGTAATAGCGGAAGCGTTTAATGAAGTATTGTAAACCACCTTGCGCTAGTATGTGAGGGCAAAGTAGATTGATTAAGACAAAGAGATACAAGATTATATAAGAGTACAAGGAATATGAAGGGATACGGTTATAACTGTTTTACTGTTGCTGTTGCGGTTCGATACAGTGACGACTCGGGCAACTGCTCTGTAGCGAGTCAGTTGTGTGTCCTTGCTGTCGCGCTGTATTTGTCAGGTCAAAGGTCGCTGACTTTTGACTTTCGCGTAACCTCCAGCGGTTACTTCAACCTCCGAGGGTTGACTCGCTGGTGCCTCGATATGCTTTGCTTCGCTTGTGTCTTGGTGTTTCGACACGACAGAGGCGCTTAAGACTGATTGTTTCCAACAAAAATCATTGTCCAAGCTCCTGCTATCATACTATCGCAGTGAAAATAAGGAGGACCAGGTGTAGCTTCGCGTGCCTTGTCGCCGCACTTTCGCGGTTGCTGCCATCTCATTCCGAAGGCGCGAGGCATTGTGTAGGGCATTGCCTGGGGATCGTGAAATCGGGTAATTGCAAGTTGTGGCCTCAAAATACAACTGGCAGCAGTCATAGAGCCCCGCCACAGCTTAAACCTTAGATATCCACTGACATCACAAATGGGAGAATGGAAAAGAACACTCTCCGCATGGCAAGATGTTCGGTGTGCTACAGTAACAGTCCAGCCCGGAAACAAAACATTTCCTGGTAGTATCGCCGATGCTGCCAAACAAATCCGAATCTGGGTGCCTGGGGGAAACAGCCATCCACTTGTGCATCCCTCCCTCCATAGTTCCCGCTGCGCATCCCGCATCCACCATCCTCTCCTCGTCCATCACTTCCTTCGGCTTCACGCCATCTCCCCCATTGCATCTGTTTCAAACAAGCACAGATGAGCTGCGGGGAAGAAGGTTGTGGTGAGAGGGTACGTATAACGACTGACGTGACAGCAGCATTTTATCGTGGCCGTTTTTAGGGACACCAACTGGAAAACGGACGCCGTACGCGCACGGTTTGGGAAGCGCGAACGTCAAGATTTGCATTTGTAACAGCACGGAGGTCGCGGAGTTCGCAAGGCGGTCTCACCAGTCGCACGGAGGTCGCACGAAAGGCCGCAGGAAATTCGCGGGGTGTATAATGGCGTCGCCGTGGGCTCAGCACTCGCCCGTATATGGCGCGCGCTGCAGCCAATTTCCGGTGGAGCAATGCCCGCTTGGCGCGCAGGTCCTAGCTGCGCCATTGTCGCATCAGTCGCCGTCCCCGTCGTTTGCTCATCATCATTCTCGCCAGCCACACGACTCTGCGACGTTATGCGACGAGAATCCGTCGCTTGATTTATTCGCGGAGAGTGACGTGGCAGCGGAGTTCTTGAACCTTCTGGACGCCATTACGGACGGCTCGCAGTCGGACGGGACTCCCATCGGCAGCAACGATTCACAACAGCAGCATGATACTAACTTATTGCACCACCATCACCCGCACTTGTCGTCCACACCATATTCGCCTGCCGCCTCCGCCGCCGATCCTGCCACACCCATTTCCGTTTCCGCCAGCGGTGCTGCTAGCTTTCTGGCCGCAGCGCCAGATTCGGTTGGCGGTGATGCTATGACGGCAGCAGCGGCACTGGCGAGCCCTGTGTCGGCGCGGCATGGGGAGTCGTTGAGCTCGTTGGAGCCGGGGACGATTCACGACGAGGCTGCGGAGTGTATGGCGGGGGTCAATGGCGGCCGTTCCGACGACCCCATCGACGCGTTCCTCGGCAGCCTGCTGCTCGCGAATCCGGCGTGCGGGGGAGGCGATGCGCGCACTTCACCTTGCCCGTCCGCCTCTGTGGCTCGCAATCATGACTCGCCACTGCAAGGCGCGCCGATGGTTGGCCAATGCGCGGCGGAACGGCGGGAGTGTTGGCATTCGGACTCGTTAGTAGCACCTCCCGCCTCTACCTCATGGGCTTCGCTGCCGTTGCACAGGGAAGAGCCTCACTCGCCACTGCAGCAGCAGCAGCAGCAGCTTGTGATGACGACGGCAGAAGGGAACGAGGCGTTGCATGAGTGGGTACCTTGTGTACCGGTGCATGTGCGCGCAGGGAGCGAGGGCGAACCAGCATGTGCGGGGACTGGCTGGAGTGGCAACGCCGTGGGGGAATGGGGATTGGGCGGAAGCAAGGCGGGCGGAATGGGCGTTGGGGGAGACAATGCGCAGCAGGTGGAGGGTTCAGCGTCGCCTGTGGAGCTCACAGGCTCAGATCTCTTCAATGCGGCACGTATGGAGGGAAGTGGTGTGGGAAGTGGGGCGACAAGCAGGGAGTGGAGCGAGGAGAGTGCGAGTGGCGATGACAATAATGCTGCTGGTGCTGCTGCTGATGATTTTCCTGGTGGCGCTGTTGGTGGTGTGTGGGCGGGACAGCAGGTGGGCGAGCTGCTGGGAGCACAGCAACGACAGAGGCTTCACATGCACCTGGAGAACCCGCTGCCGCAGCAGCATAATTATGATCTCAGTAATAATGTTAATAATATTAGTAGCGATAGCAATAATGAAAATAATCAGCTTCAGCAGCAGCAGGCGACAAGTTGCAGCACCCCGCGTGCGCGGCAGTTGCCCAACCTGTCAGGGCGACTGGCAGCACTCATTCATCAAATAAGCCACGCCGGCAATGCCAACGCCACCGCCAGGGCCAGGGCCAAGCGCAGGGCGGGTCATGTCGCAGCAGCAACAGCAGCAGCAGGGCATGCAAGGCGTGCAGGCATGGGCCACGGGCATAGTCCGGCAGGGGCAATGATGATGCAGCACGAGCAGGCGGGGCAAGCAGATGGTCAGGAGCGTGGATTCAACGATGGGCGAGAGCGTGCGTTGGGTCCGCGTGAGCAAGTGACAGGCAGCAAGCGGCGAGCAGTGCAGAGGCGAGAAGGGGCCTCGGAGCACACAGCAGCAGAACGGATAGCGTGCCAGGTTCACGCCTCTGCAGCATGCAGCACTGAGCACCCTGCTGCTCCCACTGCGGCACCTGCCTTCCCTCCCAACCCCACCACCGCTAGTGCTGCTGCTGCTGCTGCAGGAGGAGCAGCTGCACCTGCGGTGCTGTCCTTACCCCATGCATGGTTCCTGTCAGGCTCGGGTGCAGACGGCCTGTCGCAAGAAATGGATCCGTTTCTCCTCGCGCAGCACATCACCCGCTGTGCGCCTTCTCTCGCCTTCGCCCCTGCCATGCTCGCTGCCCCACACGACCCCTTTTCAGCCCTGCAGCTGCCCTCTCTCGCCGCAGTTCCGTACACACGAGCTTCCCCCCAGGCGCTCTCAAGTGCTTCGGTCACCAATTCCCTCGCGTACCACTCTCTGCTGCCCACTGTGCTGCCCGGTGCTGCTGGCAGTGGCAACAGAAGAACAGGTGGTTTCGCGTCCGCGCCCATGCCCACTCCCATGCCCATGCGCATGCACATGCCCTTTCACGTGCCTGCGCATGAGGCCATGCCCATGACTGTGCCGCGGCCTGTGCGCAGGGGCATGCACAAGGGCAAGCGCGATGTGAGCATGGACGAGGTGAGGCAGCTCGTGCTCGCCCTCGCTGAAGCCATCGCCACCGGGGACACGGTCAGTGCTCCCTGCTCACCTTTTCGCTTCCTCCTCTGCAACCCCTTTCACATCCCTCCCTCCCTCCCTCCCTCCCTCCCTCCCTCCCTCCCTCCCTCCCTCCCTCCCTCCCTCCCTCCCTCCCTCCCTCCCTCCCTCCCTCCCTCCCTCCCTCCCTCCCTCCCTCCCTCCCCCTCCCTCTCTCCCTCCCTTCGCTCACCACCCCACTTCCTTTTCAATACTTGTCTTCGTGTCTCGCTCCAGTCTTCTTCCTATCCGTATCCCCCTATTCCCAGCCGACTCGGCCCTTCCCCTCTCACCCTGCCAGCCCAACTCTCTACCCGTCCTCCCCGCCTTCCCCCATCCACAACCCATCTTCTCTAATTCTCTCAACCACACTCCCTTTTCAACAGCAAGAAATATCATATCCCTCTCACACCCCTCACTTCCCCCACCCACGCCCATGCGCCTCTCTCCCTGTGGCAGGACCGGGTGGCAGGGCTGCGGGCGCGCGTGGCAGCAGCAGCGAGTGCGGAGGGGCGGGCGGGGCAGCGAGTGGCGCACTGCTTCCTGGACGCGCTCACATGCCGCCTGCACGGCACGGGCGCTCTCCGCCTCTACAACGCCGCCTTCACCTCCCAGGTAGGTACTCCCGTACGCTCCAGCGTGCCGGGGAAGCTCCAAGCGTGCAGCACCAAGCGCCAAAGCGCTGAGTGCACACGTGTGGACGCCTTACTGGGATGTGCCTGGCTGCTGTGGTGTGTGTGGGGTGGGTTGCTGCGGGGTGCGGTAGCGTGTGGGGCGCGCAGAGGCTGTCCATGTGGCGTGATAGGTTCACTTCGCCCCACATGCACAGGTGGTGCCTGTGTCAGTTATTATCAGGCTGGACAGTGGATATGAATGGTGGTACAGTGGGGCCGGAAGGAGAGGGGTTTGTGCTGTCCAGGTGAGGTATAGAGGATGGGATGTTATGCTTGTGAAGCTGGGATGTGGGGTGTCATCAGTGCCCCCTTCTCGACAAACCATCCTTAATATCTCCCATTCCTTCCGCCTCCTCTCCTCATCCTCTCGCCCTCCTCTCCCCGCCTCTCCCCTGCTAACAGACTTCCTCTCGGTTGTCCCCGTTCACCCCTCCTGCTTATCCCTTGCTTACACCCCTCACCTAAACCTCCGCGTCTCCATCTCACATTCGCCCCATGATCACCCGTTCCTCCACCCCCCCCTTCGTCTGCCTCACTCCCTACCCAACCCCTGCCATCTCACTCATGCCCCTCTCTCGACCCAACCCCTTGTCCCGTGTCCCACCAACCCACATGATCTCCGCGTTTCCTTGCTCTGCCCTTGCTTACCAGGACATGCTACAGTCGCGCCATGTGTACTTCACCACCACGCCCTTCGTCACCTTCCTCTACGCCACCGCCTATTCCGCCATCCTGGACACCCTCTCCCGCTCCTCTCGCCCCTCCCCTTGCACTGTTGTCGCCACGACCTCTCACTCCCCTGCTTTCGATCCGTGCGCTCCTCGCAACACACCCTTGCGCTCCTCATTCTCCACGCATCCTGCTGCTGCCAGCACCAGCAGCAGCCACTGCAGCAACGGCTCTGGAGAGGTCTCTTGCTCTGGGGAAGCAACAGCAGGAGCAGGAGGAGGAGCAGGAGTGGGGCGAGCAGCGTGTGAAGCAGGGGCGAAGAGCCAGAGGAAAGGCATGCGGGGGGCGCTGCACATAATCGACTTCGGAGTGTACCTGGGCGGGCAGTGGTCTCTGCTGCTGCGCCGCCTCACGTGCCTGCCTGGCGGCCCCCCTCGCTGTGTGCGCATCACAACCATTGATAACTGCTTCCGTGCCGGCCGAGCCGCCACCCCCCACGCACAGGTGTGCACAGGAGGGCGGGGGGGGACAGGCGCAGGCGCAGGAGCAGGGGCAGGGGAAGCAGCGGCATGCGGAGCGAATGGTTTCATGGGCAGGGGAGTGGGAGACGTGCAGGTGGAGGAGGTGGGGAGTGAGGAGCAGTGCTGGGTGGCGGACTGTGAGCAGCAGAAGCACGAGGAGCTGGGGAGGAAGCTCACAGCACAGCTGACAGCAGAGGCGGCCGCGCTGGGCATAGAGAGGTTTGAGCACCGCGTGGTGACGATCAACAAGGATAACCTCGCTGATAGTCTCGCCCAGGTGGAGGGCCGGCGCACATGGCGGGGAAGCAGGGGGCGGGGTGGCAGTGGGACAAGGCGAATGGGTGGACGGGTGCAGGAGGGGGGTGTGGAGGAGTGGAGGGGGGAGGGGTGTGAGGACGAGGAGGAAGAGGAGGAGGAGGTGGTGGCGGTGTGCTGCTGTTTGGAGCTGCAGTATTTCCATGACAGCTCTGTCATGCGCAGCAGCCCTAGAGATACCCTTCTCAAGGTGCGCTGCTGCTGCTGCCTGCTACCTGCTACCTGCTACCTGCTACCTGCTGCCTGCTGACTGTTGCTTGCTGCCTGCTTTCGAATGGCTGTATTACGATACTTGCAACGCTGTGTGTTGCACAACAATTGTTGATGCCCACCCAGCCTCTATCCCTTTCCCAGTCGCCCCGTTGTTTCGCATCACATCACCCGTGCCCTACAATGCTTCTCCTTCAGCAGGCCCTACCTTTCAAACAGTTGATGACTTGCACCTCCCCATTTCTCATCCCCCTTACCCCTTTAATTCCCCCTGTATCCTGCCCCGTCCTGTCCCGCCAGTGGGTATCCTCCCTAGCACCGGACATCTTCACCTTCATGGAGTTTGACCTCTCTGCCAACGGCCCCTTCTTCCTCTCGCGCCTGCGCAACTGCCTCGACTACCACGCCTCGCTCTTTGAGTGCCACGAGCACCTCTCTGCTACATGCCCTGTCTCCAACCAAGCGCCCGTGCCAACCAAACTCCACCAGCAGTGCAACCAGCAACCCCAGCAGCACCACCATCTGTCACCTGACGCACAGCCCTGTGCAGAAGGCGTGTTGGGAAGTGCTGACACCAGCTGGTCCCATGCATGCATGGCCTCTCTCTCACCAGCCACTGCCAAGCCCGCACCACCCAGCTCCGCGCCTTTGCCCCTGCTCGAAACACCCACTCGCCGCGACCACATCCTGGCATTTGAGCGGGCCTTTTTCGGGTACAACATTGTAAACATGGTGGCCACAGAGGGCATGCAACGCTCCGTGCGCCCGGAGAGCCTGGCGGAGTGGGCGCAGCGCATTCGGCACGCGGGGTTTGTGCCGCTGCCGGTGCCGGCAGACGTGCTGGAGGAGGCGTATGGCACCATCCGTAGCACCCCCCCGGGGCTAGGCATGCTGGCCACAGAGGGCGCCGTGCAGCTGACATGGCATGGCCGTCCGCTGCTCATGTGCACTCTCTGGCAGGTTCCCTGGGTTATGGGGTGAGAGCATCGGCCACCCCATGTCACGCACGTTATATTTTCCTTGTTGCTATCCTCCTGCACACCTTCCTTTTGGTACTTCCGCCTGTCTCCCACCCTCAGGCTCCTGCTGCATCTCTTTAGTATTACCATTAAATAATTTTGTACCGCAATCCCCCGGATAAGATTCACAGGAAAAAAATGGGTGTCCATAACAGTGGCAAAAATGTTATGCTACCCAGGATTCCTTGATAGGTACGGTTTGCCACTCTGGTTTGAAGCCAGATTTGAATGCAGTTTTTAAGAGAGTAGGTACGCATCAGAGATGTGACTGCATGTAAGTTCTGCTAGCTCTACTCACACATCCATATTTGGGTGTTGTTGTCTCATTTACCTTGAACTCATCCCATTGTGATGCATGTTCCACCATTGTGTGACTACACTATCTGTGCTTACAGGATTGTGTCAATCCAAACAATGCCAACAATAAATAACCATCATCTAAACCCATTCTGGAGTGCGAAGTAACTTAAATCTTGAAAGCAGGGCACCAATGCCCCCTCATACCGTACTACTAGAAGCACTTCAACTGAACAACGGATGCACCAATGTCATCGTACTCCTGCTTGGTAATCCACATCTGCGTCACCTAAGGTAAGTCAGCTCAAAGAACCAAGGAAGGCATAAAGCAAGACAAAGCAGAACAGAGTACTGCCACCACTGAGAACAATGTTGCTGTACAGATCCTCCCTGATATCGACGTCACACTTCATGATGCTGTTGTAGCACATCTCATGGATACCCGAGCCTTCCTTGCCAGCCAACCCTGGGTTGAAGAGCGCTTCTGGGCACCTAAATCGCTCCGAACCAACGGTAATAGTCTCGCTATCAGGAAGCTCATACTTACTCTCCAAGTCAGATGTCGCCAGCGAAGCCATCTCATTCTGAAAGTCAAGAGCAACAAATGCGAGCTTCTCCTTGATGTCCTTCACAATTTGCCGCTCGGCAGATGTGGTAAAGGCGTGACCCCTCTCACACAACATCGAAACCATGGACGAAGTCAAATCACGACCGGCAAGGTCCAAACGGAGAATCGCGTGTGGCAGAGCGTTACCCTCGATGATGGGGACAGCGTGCGTCACGCCATAACCGGAGTTCAGAACAATTCCTGAAACCAAAGAGGAGATTAGCAGCAGAAACACTTTGCAAATGCGATTACGCGGAGAAACAAGCCAAGGCTTACCAGTGGTACGACCGGCGGCGTACATGGAGAGCACGGCCTCAAGGGCGACATACATTGCCTGCACGTTGAAAGTCTCAAACAAAATCCGCGCCATCTCCTCGCGATTTGCCGCAGGATTCAGAGGAGCTTCAGTCATAAGCACCGCCGGATGTTCGCTTGGATTGACACGAAGCCCATCTTTGAAGGTGTGGTCCCAAATCTTTTCCATGTCGTCCCAGTTCGTCACAATACCTGACATCAAAATGCGGGAAGGTCAACAGCGAGAACAAAGAAACTTCGTGCCTACTTCATTCAGCAGAAAAGTTAATCTCACCGTGCTCAATAGGATATTTCAGCGTCAAACTTTCAGTTTCACGCTTGGACACGGCTTCATCACCAACGTAGAAAGGATACTCGTCCGTTCCTCGACCGATAATGCTGGGAAATACAGCACGCGGCGCCTCCTCTCCAGAGAATCCGGCCTGGATTATAAGGCTCACAGTGCATTAGAAGGAAATCACGAGCAATTAAATCGACAATGCCAATGCTACTCACCTTCATCATACTGGATCCATTGTCGCACACAAGAACAGCTTGCTCCATGTTGAACGACACTGTGCAAGGACATTAACCAGAAAAATATTAAATAAATTCTATGAATTTTCTTCAAAAATTCCAGAAAAATCGCCTAACGCAGTTTGCAGTGTTTTACTTGACTGAATGACCAGCAGAAGTACGCAACCATTATCGCCAGACATGCTCACCACAACGATTGGAGGAAGGTTGGGGATGACTTGGCTGTGTGAACAGCAAATACAAGGGAGGCAGGACATGCTGTACTTCACTCTTCAGTTCAGACACCACAGCAAAAAAATCCCCAGGCAACCACCCGAGACGAGACCTCCACCACCAGCCCAACGGGCAATGCAACAGAAGGACGACGAACAATCAGCAGCTTTGTTCAACAACAACTGTTTTGACGTTATCCGAATAGTGAACAGTGTTTGTATTACAGTAAAACCATCCACCAACCTTTTGTTGTTCAAAAACATCTATCTTGACTGCTGACCGGACTCTGAAATGTCAAGAGCCAAGCCACCACTGCATCTTGACAGAAGTGCTGTACATCGCGGTAAGGGCGGACGCAAACTTTGCGAGCCCGGACGAGTTTCTGCCAAAAAGCACACAGAATGTCACCGCGAGGATACAAAACAGCCCAGTTAATATCCGACTTTTAGGTCATACCAACTGCGAGGACGCAAATGTCACTCATCAATCGACTCTCCGCACCACACCCTCCATATCGGCAAACCGCGTGTGCGCTTCGCAGAGATTCAATGGGTTAGCCAACGCAATATAACTTGATGACGATGCCCCGATATATGTCCTTAGTTTACAGCTGCATATACAGAAACATGTCGCAAAATGCGTCCATAAAATGCCTACTCACACACCAAGAAATTGTCAAGCTATAGCACCGTGCTACCAACAAAGGACACACATGCACGACCTTTTTTAATACGCAATCTTCACAACCCCTTAACGCACAGTCACCCTCCCCGCAGACACATTTTCATTGTTATAATGATCGGCCTCCTCGTACGGTATTACTTCACATAATCGTACTTCCTCGGCGTACCAAGGCCGAAGATACGCAGTAAGATCACATATAAGTTGTCAAAGCGACAAAGCGCATGGCCATCATGCCAACATGTGCCTCTCCGGCCCCACAACTTGCAGTTTATGTCGAAGTAAAAGGCCCCACCCTCGCTTAGGCGCAGGAGTCCTTGTCAGAAATAAGAGGCAGGAATGATTGACTAGTAGGGAAGAGTGAGTACAAGTACTAGGAATGACCTAAGGTGTTGTACTCCTTAGAGTATGCCCCACTACAGCCTAGAGATAACAAATGCAATTTGACACACCCCCATAGGCAAAGTGGAAGATAGCAAACACAACGGACGGTCACAAGACCAGTCAAGCAAGAGAACAAAGCAAAGCAAAGCTCAGGGTGGATCTCAAGATCACCACACATTCTGAGCACAAGCAAGCGGCCACAAGGCCAGTTCACATGCAGAGTTATAAAACCACAAGCAGTACAGTGATCACAACCTAGCAAGAACAAGCATGCAGGTATATATATATAGATAACAGTACAAGACAAGTCAAGCAACCAGCAGGTGAGGCAGAGTAGACAGAAGGCCTAGAGCAGTGCAGAAACGCTGATAATCACCAGACCCAACGTCCTTGGTGAAGACATCAGCAGTGTTGGCCCGAGAGGCCACGTAAGCAAGGCGCAGCTGACCACGCTGCTGCAGCTCCCGAGCAAGAAAGTGACGAAGAGCAATGTGCTTCGTTCTGTGCTCCAGTCTCTGCTCCTGACACAAGGCAATCATGGCCTTGTTGTCGACGTACAAAACTGGAGGAGAACGAGGCCGCTCACCCAAGTCGGCCAGCAGGTAGTTCAGCCAGCGTAACTCCTGTGCAGCCATAGCCTCAGCGTAGATCTCGGACTCACAGCTGGAACCAAGCACAGAGGACGAACGAGTGGACCTCCACGAGACAGAACCGGAGCAGAGACTGAAAGAGTAACCCTGTGACGACCGCTGAGTCGACTGGTCGCCGGCCCAAGAAGCGTCGGAGTGTCCTGTGAGTACCACTGGACCCCGTCCTCCAAGCACGAGCCCCATGCCCGATGTACTGCACAAGTAACGCAGTACCCTCTGCGCAGCTGTCCAGTGCTCCTTCCTGTGTCTCCTGGGGGCGACGAAGCGAGCAAGGATGCTGAGAGGGTACGCGAGGTCAGGTCGTGTGCACGCCATCAGGTACATGAGGCAGCCCACAAGCTCTGGATATGGGCCGCTCGGCTCTACGAACTCGTCCAAAGGTGGAGCTGAGAGCGAGTGACCTGTAGGCAGAGGAGTGGACTGTGGCGAGGAGAACCGAAAGCCGAAGCGCTGAAGGACCTGGTGCACCATGTGCGACTGAGTCAGATTGATGGTGCACCGTGCTCTGTCCCGGGTGATCTGCAAGCCAAGATAGCTACGCAACTCACCCAGGTCAGTGCAAGTATGTCTCTTCTGCAGCTCCGCCTTTACAAGGGTCAGTGCCTCAGTGTCAGCAGTAGCAAAGACCAAGTCGTCGACATACACGTGGATGTAGAACGGCGGCAGAGAAGGGTCAGTGCGCAGAAACAGCGACGGGTCAGCAGTGGAAGGAGCAAACCCAAGAGCCGCAAGTGTCGTCCTCAGTGTGTCGTGCCACTCGCGGGGAGCCTGGCGGAGACAGTAGACTGGCCGCCGGAGGCTCCACTGGGTACCCTCAGGAAACGACCCAGTGAAGCCAGGTGGGCGGCGCTGTCAGAATCCCAACCACTAGACCATTGGGATAAAAGGGCTTGTTTCTGTAGCGGGTCAGTGCGCCCATAACCCCCCAGGCTAACAGGCCTGTAACCCCCCAAGGATCAATCGGGGATCTCACAGTGCAAGTCTTCTGACACCCCCCCACACTGGGAGGTCCAGGACTCGGCACAGCGGCAACGGCCTGCATGTGCATACACCAGGATTCGAACCCGAGACTGCTCTAATACCATGTCAGAATCCCAACCACTAGACCATTGGGATAAAAGGGCTTGTTTCAGTAGCGGGTCAGTGCGCCCATAACCCCCCAGGCTAACAGGCCTGTAACCCCCCAAGGATCAATCGGGGATCTCACAGTGCAAGTCTTCTGACAGGCGCAGCCAGATCTCCTCGTGAAGGCTGCCCTGCAAGAAAGCTGTGGAGAAGTCGAGGGAGTGCAGCTCATCGTCACGCTGTGCTGCAACGTGCAGTAACACCCGAAGAGTAGTCATCTTCGGGGTGGGGGAGAAGGTCTGGAAGAAGTCGACCCCCTGTCGCTGACTGAAGCCTCGAGCAACGTAACGCACCTTGAAGGCAGGCGGAGAACCCGGCGGCCGCTTCACTATGAAAATCCACATGCCATCGACTATGTTCGCCCTAGGAGGAGGAACCTCGTCGACGTAGGTGCCTGTGGACTTCCAGGAAGCCATCTCTGCGTCCATGGCTGTCTGCCACTGAGAGGAGTACTCACCCGTGATCGCCTCTGTGTAAGAGCGCGGGGTAGGGATGTCAAGTGCATCCGGGTCTCCCTCAGGGCAAAGCAGCATGGACGCGAAACGAGGTAAAGCAGCCGCGAGACACTCAAGCTCAAAATGCCTGTCCTCAAGGACGTCACTGCTAAGGGCAAGCTCACCCCCGACGGACGGAGGACAGACAGACTCATACTCAGTAACACGACTCGCGACGTAGTCGAGACGACGGGTAGCAGCAAAGTCGACTAGCTCAGTGACTAGGGCAGACGCAGCAGTAGACTCAAAGGAAGGGTCAGTGACAACAGTGGCGAGGAGACGAGTGACAGTAGGACTAGCAGCACGAGCAAGGTCGGACTCAGGGTCAGGAACGTCAGGAAGAGAGGACGCCGGAGGAGACGGCAGAGCAACACGCTGTGGAACAGAAGAAGGACGAAGTGCCATAGCATGCGTGCCGGGGACAGGTGGAGGACGAGAACGACGAGCACGACTGACAGTCCGAACAGGGGAGGCAGGACAAGACTCAGGCTCACAAAGCTCAGCCTGGGAGCCTGTCTGTGCAGGGTAGGGAGAAGAAGCAGGCAGTGGAGAGCCAGGCAGTATTTGCGGCGGTGACTGGTCACGCGGAGGATACAGGAGAGGCGGAGTAAGGCCAGTGGAAGACGGAAGACTAAGAACCTGACGAAGTGCCGAGTCAGGTGGTGATAGGGACGACTGCGGCTGAGGGTAGAAAAACAGTCGGCGCGGCGCAGTGCCCGTACCGTCAGCAGCTCCAGCACCTCCAGCACCTCCAGTACCTCCAGAACCACCAGCTCCAGCACCTCCATTACCTCCAGCTCCAGTACCTCCAGCACCTCCAGCTCCAGTACCTCCAGCACCAGCAGCTCCATTACCTCCAGCACCTCCAGCTCTAGCACCTCCAGCACCAGCAGCTCCAGTACCTCCAGCACTAGCACCTCCAGCACCAGCAGCTCCAGCACCTCCAGCACCAGCAGCTCCAGCACCTCCAGCACCTCCAGCTCTAGCACCTCCAGCACCTGCAGCTCCAGCACCTCCAGCACCAGCAGCTCTAGCTCCTCCAGCACCAGCAGCTCCAGTACCTCCAGCACCTCCAACTCAAGTACCTCCAACACCAGCAGCTCCAGTACCTCCAGTACCTCCAGCTCTAGCACCTCCAGCACCAGCAGCTCCAATACCTCCAGCACCTCCAGCTCTAGCACCTCCAGCACCAGCAGTTCCAGTACCTCCAGCACCTCCAGCTCGAGCACCTCCAGCACCAGCAGCTCCAGTACCTCCAGTACCAGCAGCTCCAGTACCTCCAGTACTTGCAGCACCAGGACTGCCTCGCCGAACAACCCAGTCGCGAAGCTGCTGCGGCGAGAGGGTCTGTCGACGAGACTGCTGCTGCTGTCCAACGCCAGAACCCCCAGCAAGAGCACCCACGACTCCACCACCACTAGGACTCGCAGCACCCCCAGTG